GATTATAACTACAGCCTCAGCTTAACTGGGTTCGTTGCCGATTTGGACTCCCCAAATCAATCCCGTTGACGGGTGATTGCTGATGGCAAAAGATCGATAGAACTAGCTAAGAGACAGGCGAAACGAAGGACCTGCATGGTGTGGTGGTGAATGCGTTACTCCCCGGAAAGGACAATAGGATGTTCGTTCCCCACCGCATGCACCTGCGGTCCGTAGTTCTGCAAATATCTCAGCATCATTGAAATCAATCACTAGTGTTTAACTGAATGAAATTGAAGCACGTTTGAGTCTGTAATCATGCAGAATCCACGGCAGCACCGCCAAAAAGGTATCGCTCCATCACTTAAGAAAAAGAATGAGCGCTTCAAGGTTGTTGCATGAAGATGTCGAACAGGATAGTATCTTGGCGTTTTGCCAGGCGAAAGGTACTGACGGAGCAAAAGCAGTACTACTCAACAAGTAGCATATCATGGCTGCGATGTTAGTGAAAAAAGTTGAAAAACATGTGGAAGCACGGTAAGCGTGTTCTGCAACTATTAGCTGGTTCTTATGCTCAAGGACTGCTGAATAAGGTTGTTATACAGCACACGTTTACTTTCGTACAAAAGACACAACACAACAGTAGCTGACGTTTTGGCAGCATCGCCTTCTTCAGAGCCTTCTTTCCCTAGGGCGCTGTAGGGGTCTCGCGAAGCAATTGACAAAAAATTCCCCTTGTCTTCGGAGGTGTCCTCAAAACGCTAAATCACTATCGCGATAGACGATTTATCTCTAACCTCAGAGCCGCATAAAAATGTGGTATGCAATAGAATTTTTTAATTTTATTTTATTTGGTCCATCTTCATATCTACTGTGCGGACTCCAGCACTTCTCACATTCGATTCGTTTCCTCGAATCCGTTGTCCACGAAGATCTTCCAACTTTTATGTGTGGCTTTGGTTATCGCATGAGAATTTCCATTTCATCTTGAATGTCGTAGAATGCTGGTCGAGTAATTCTCCCTGCATTGCAGAGTGGTTTTTTTCCCAGAGAAATCCGGAACCAACTTCCTGACCTCGAAGGGATGACAGGCTTGGTTGACCCGGAGCGGAATCGAACTGGCACCATGCTCGTAATGATGGACTTCACTACCACTGTGCTGTCCGCTTCCTCTTGCAAGAAATTAGAAAAATAATAAGCTCAAAGATAGTTAAATTATCAGTTAGTGATAATGAGAAGAATTCGTAGATATTCTTCGCCAAAAAAGGCGCATGAAACGCAGTCGACTGCGGTTCTGAATAAGGCAAGGGCACCGAAGCATTATAGCTACGATAGTGCTTTTGTAACGACGTCGTGTAAGTTGAATAATCTAAAGAAATATACTGGTTATTCATGCTGATGTTAGGTGAAAGTCGTTTGATCGATATTTGCGACTAATGCCTATGTCCTTTCCATTCGATTCCATCGTTCTTTATCAGCTGGTGATGTGACTGTGAATATTAATAAAAGGCACAATTTCATGGGGCGAGTGCGATAACAGCCAGCTGGAGTTCTCATTTAAAAAAAACAAAGCTTTCGGCGTTGATTCAATCCCTGAGGGATGCGCCATGCATTCGACTTCATTAAGCATTATTTTGTGGTGATTGAATGCAAATATGGCCTTCACAATGACTCGCGGTGGCCTACCCATGTTTCGAGCCAGTGCTGCTATCCTCCCAGACAATTCTGGTATCAAATCGTGGATCCCGGAGGGATGGAACGCTTGGTGGGCTATGGGCGCGAGGATGAATTCCACGTGTGTTGCAGGGCGCCTTCGACCACTGTACCACACGCGCCTAGAGTTCTCATTTAGAATAGAATTGCTGCACCCCATGATTCACAAGGATAATGGAATAGTATTCGTCTCAACGTAGTCGAATACCTTTCGTGGTTGAACAAATAATAAAGCACGTCCCTAGCAGTTCGGTTGTCGTATTCGAATGTACTTGAAAAATAAACAAGTGGAAATGTCGGCCTCACAACGATAGGGGTGACAATCCAATGAGATGAAGCACAGATGCACCTAAACAGCTATCCTACATTCCGTGAGCAAAAAAAGAAGCGAAGTGAAATATAACAACGAGAAGTAGAGTTACACAGACACACAGACACACCCTTGGTTCTTCCAAATGCACACACCGGACGAACAGTCATCACTTGGTCGGTCTTGATTGGCACGCTTCCGAAAGATCGCGCTTCTTCTCCGGAACTCATCAGCCAAATCGATAGCCGGTCGCTTTGAACCGCGAAAATCGGCATTTGTTCGTTGGTCCATATCTTATCCCCGCCCTACTATGGTGAACTGGTATTTGAGCTCCAGTATTCTGCTTATCGTCATTGCTAGAGGTTAGTTATCGTCAAATATTTACGTGTTATTCACGGTTGCCACACAACTATGTTATGTGGAGATTGCGATACTCCACAAATTTCGTCATACACATGTACATATATATATGTATATATATATATATGTATATATATATGTATATATATATATATACTCACTTTTTACATATTACATACTTTATGTGTACGATATATTATGTATTTTTATACGTTATATATGTATAGAGGCGTTTGTAGCGCAGTGGTCGTAGGCGTCCTGTAATACACACGGGATGGATACTCGTGCCCCGGGCCCACCAGGCCCTCCAACCATCCGGGGTCGGCAAATTGTTACCAGACTTGCCTGGAAGGATAGCAGCACTGGCTCGATGCATCGGTAGGTCACCCCGAGTCATTGTTAAGGCCAGATATGAATTCAGCTACCTCCAACGATGCTTATGAAGACGAATGCATAGCGCATCCCTCAGGGACTGAACAACGCCGAGAGGCGTTTTATCCTTTATTTATTTTACGCAACCAGTCTTCAAGTCTACTGCGCTGATTCCAGCACTTTTGACATTCGATTCATTTCCTCGCAACCATCATCCACTGCGATCTTCAAACTTTTACTAGTGGCTTCGGCTACTGCTTGAGGATTTCCACTTCATCTTCAATGTCATAGAATGCTGGTCGAGTCGATTCTCTTTAGAGTCCTAAGATAACTGGGTGAAGCGTTCGCAGTTGGACTACAAAGAGTGGTTTTTTCGTGGACAAGTCCGATACCAATTTCCAGACCCAAAAGGGAGGCTTGGTGAGCCTGCAGCGGGATCTAACCAGTACCGTGCTGGTTAAGATCGGCATCACTACTGCTGTGCTATCTACCGCCATATATATATATATATATATATATATATACATATATATATACAGACCTACATAGATACATGCAAGTAAAAACGTACGAGTGATTACTAATGGTGAACCACCGACGAGACTTACATTAACTTCAACAACAGTTCCGCAAATTCGGCCTTATTTTGTTACCGTTACTAGTTTCAAAACAATTGCTCAGTCAGTCGTGAAAGCACTGGTCCTTTACTTCTTCATACTATGTGGATTGAGGATTCTAAGTGCTCTGTAGAACCCAATCCTGATTTCAAATGCTTTGTACTGCTTAATTCTTACAGGTAAGTGTTCTACTCAGGTTTTTTCGCTTTCAAATGTTGTTTTGTATTGAGCTCGGTTGAACTTCGCTAAGTCGATCATCGATTCTATAGGTGTAGTTTTTTTCCGGCGTTCAGAACTCGTCACCGATCAATATATTTCGCTCTATCTTATCATCGTTTCAACAGTTTATCGGACCGAGAATGATGAAAGTTTTGATGAGCTTTCGCTTCCCGGATGGAAAGGGTCCCGAAACACAAAGAGCGAATTGTTTCATGAGAGTTTTCTTCTTCATTGTTAGGTTATATGAACTGAAACTTGTAGTTAACTCAGTAAAAATACTATAGTAGTCATCTTTTACTTTTTGTTAAGGAACGGGAAAGAAACCACGTGTTCATCGAGTACTACGGTAGTCTTTCATGTCGTTTCTTGTTGTTAAACATGGTTTAAATATGTTTATATCTGAATAGAATCTTTCTGTTACCCAAGTTTTTCTTCTAATTTAACCGTCCACGTTCGCATCAAACCTAAAGGTCCAACATTTTCTGGATTTTCACGAGCGGTGGTGCGCTCGCCCAAAATCCTGCCTAGTGTGATGGCATAACAGGTGATGGGGACGACCACTACCGAGGGAGGCCTCGTTATCGATTCTATCGGGGAAACATCGGAGAGTCAGGCGATCGATTAACGTCTCATTCACTTTTTCACATGTAGCTAGTTTTTCTAGTTTCTCTTTCTTTCAGTCTTTCTCCATCATAATAACCTTAAGTTGAATCAAAGACTATCAGTCAAATCGTAAATGCTTTTGAGATTGTTCTCAGTACTTTTAGCATTTTTTGAATGTTTTGACTTTCCGACGTTTCCAAACTTCCTACAGTTTTCATAGATTGATCTTAGTTGAACCCTGTCTGTACGCAGTGTTGTGAGTTAGATGTAGGTGTTGAATATTCCATCGGGCGTGTATAGCGCAGTGGTCGGAGGCGCCCCGCAGTACACATGGGATCGATCTCTGCGCCACAGGTTCATCAAGCCCTCCATCCCTCCGGGGTCGGTGAATTGGTACTAGACTTATCTTGGAGGATAGCAGCATTGACTCAGTACATCGGTAGGCCACCGCGAGTCATTGTAAGGGCCAGATGTGCATTCATTAACCTCCAACGATACTTGTTGAAGTTGAATGCATGGCGCATCCCTCAGAGGTTGATCAACGCCGAGATCTTTATCCTTTTTTTAAAATATTCGATCAGTGTACACTGGATGAGTGTAGGTTCTACAACTAATATTACGTTGTCTCATTTGTGAACTTTTGTCGGAAATTGTTAGTTTCTTTTCGGAAATTTTGAATTAATCTAGCAGAAAAGATACCAGAATTTATATGATTAGATCGGTTATACTTTTCTACTGCATAGTTTAATTTACTAACATTAGAACGATGATAGATAAATGCTGATAAGTAGTGAATGGTAATCACTTGCTTTACAGTGTCTCTGGCAATGACATCGGTTTCTCTTCATGGCGTAGCTGATACTTTGTTACCGCAGTACGAAAAGGTAGGTTTTCTACTATCGTTTTTTATGTTTACTCTACAGTTCTCTGCAGTTCTCTGGGATTTCTGAAGAGAAGGCTCATGAACATTATGCTGGTTACTGTACGAACCATTCCTTTATAAAAAAGTAGTATTATTCATCTGTTTATTAGATTGGAAAGTAGCATGGTGTTGTGAGAGTTACTTGTTTGTCATAGTGAAAAGAGACAGTGGTGTTCTGTTGACGTTTCCACTTTTCGGGCCCATGAAATACTTGTAGTGATTTGTTAGAGGGTTCACAGATTTTTTTAATGCTTTTATTAAGAGTGTAGTAGATTCGGATTGGATTTTGTGTTATCAGTAATGGTCCCATTGGTACTGCATATAACTATGTGCCTTGCAGTACGCTTCAGCACTTGAAACAGCTGCGGCCGCCTTCAGGGAAGTAGAAGCTCTTTTCAACGATTCCACTTTCATTGAGAAGGTCGGTTGGAAGGTAGACGAGGAAAACGATGAAGGCGATGTGGTCTATGCAAAGTACACACCCAAGGGCAAAATGGTCTCCATCTCGGTTTGTAATGTGTTTAGTTTTTTTCTCGTTTCTCTTCTTCTTTTCTTCTTGGTACGTATTAGTTTAGTGATTTTTGTAGTTTAGTTAGAATATGGAAGTGATTTCTCAGACCATTTTTCGGCCTTAGGCTTTGTTATTTCTAAAAGTTAAAGGTCGTTTTTTACTGCTAAAGGAATTAGAATATCGTCGCTTTCTATAGATATTGCTTTGAAATACTTAGGAAGTTATTTTCGTTTGTACGAAAGAGCTTGCACAACGATTACTTCATTGAATTTCTGTCCTCATTTTCTGTGCCACAGATTTTTAAATAGATTGTTGGTGATTCGCAGCAATTTCTAGACCGAACTGCCTCTTGATGTCGAGTCAGTGATGAATGAGACGTGGACGGGTGTAGAAGGACTACCAAAATGGAATCCAAACATTAATTTCGCCAAAACCATTGCATCTCCCACATCTCATTTCGATATTGTTACAGTAAGTCGTGATTTTTACTGGTTTGAAGCGTCCAAGAAATCTTATTTTATGTGAAGAGCTTTCTAAAGTTCTTCAGTTTTATTTAAATCTTTTCCTAGTTTTTGTTTCAGAGTCTTTTTTTTTTCATGGCGGGTGATTCTTCTTGTTTACTTATTTGGTTTAGTTCCATTTAGCTTAACCAAATGTGGCAGTGGCGTGTGGCGCAGTGGTCGAAGGCGCACACGTGGAATCGATCCCTGGGTTCCATGGTCCCACCGAGCCTCCCATCCCTCCGGGGTCCATCCCTCCGGGGTCGGCGAATTGGTACCAGACTTGTCTGGGAGGATAATAGCACTGGTTCGATACATGGTGAATGAAGTGGAATGCATGACGCATCGCTTAGGGATTGATCAACCCCGAGAGCTTTATCCTTTAACCTTAACTACGTGATTTTCCTTGCATGAAAATAGTTACTGTGTTCGCTTATTTCAGCACTTTTGATTTTTAGTATGGAAACAATGATGTGTTGATCGTGAGTGGGAGGGACTTCATTTCTGCACGAATCTATCGGAAGACGCCATTAGGATATATTCTTGCATCGCGCAGTGTGAAAGTGAAGGAGTATCCGGAACAGAAAGGTAGAGTGCGGTAAGTGTTTGCTTAGTTGTGGAGTCGGTATTAAGTGGTGAGGAATTGCCTCGCAAGATACAGTCAATAACAACCCTGAATGTTTCTGCACTTTAACGTTTTTTGTATTTTGCCTCGTCTAGGGGCGAAAATCGTTAGGAAGAAAACTGGAGTTTGTCAGATTGCGCTTTTGTTGAGTATACACGTTTCCTAATGGATTTGTGAATTTAGTAACACGTCTTCACTGCTTCGTGAACGGAGCCTGCCAACCATTCACCCTAATTCGATAATGCTTCAGTGTTCTTCTAATTGAAAACGTTGTCAGCGTCCTATCCTTGCTGAATGTTAGGCGATAATATCCGTTTAGCATTGTAAGGGTGTAGCTTCAAATTAGTGTGCATGAGTAAACTTTAAAGGGTATTGGTGATGATGTGCACGTTGCAGGCGGAGACGGTTTGTTAGTCTGAATTTCCGTGGATGAAGCATTACTTACTGAAATCCATGTGACTGCATTCCATTTTGGGAGAAATGAGTTGTTTCTGTGAGTCAGAAGTTGTTCTTTGTATTAGTGACAACAAAAATCTGCACTTTGAGGTGATCGCGTTCTCTCCTAGTTTTTTTTTCGCAACGTTTTTGACGACACATGCTGAATTGACATAGTAGAACAAGTGGTAGCAAATGCTTCGTATTTTTGTCAGCCATGTCCTACACTGGAATGACATAACTTCTAAAACTTGTTGACAACTGTTTGCCCAGAGTTCAGACAATTTGCTTTATCTCATCGATACTACTTATTTAGACACTTGCACGCCCCATTCACACTGATTTTGAGGGTCCCACCAGCATAATCTTCTTTTTTGGGAGTTTAACTGGCTTAGCTATTGTGTTTCCCTGGAGTCCCGAGGTCAGCCTAGCCAAAGTCTACCCAAAATCGTCACCGCCACAAGCAGTCCCACCCTTTGTGCATCAGAGGGGGATTTGTCACCATGCTACTAGTTTTATACCAGGACAGTAATAGATCTTGGTATTGGTTTACTCTTGGCTAGACTTCCCGATGGAAAAGCCGGTCTACTTCTCGGCTTGGGAGACCTTGCAGGGTAGGATGAATTCCCTGCTGTACACTGCAGCCAGACGCCCAGGAACACCTACCAGCTATTATGACGCGGTAAACTGTTGAAAGGCTCATCGGTGTTTTAATAATTCTGTTTGGAATGGCGTAAGGAGTCGTTGTCATCAGGTCCATCTTTGTTTCAGTTCTGGCCTGTAGTTACAATTCATCATCTTATCCTAGTGTGAGTTTGTTTTTGAATGTCGTGCTGCATTGTAAAACAAGGACTCTTCTATCCGGAAAGCCCATTCAAATTGGAAACATGACTGACATTTTCATCCAGGAGACTTGACGAGAGCAAACCAACCCCGGATTCACCGCTGGTTTGGTAGAAACCACTTGTAATGCGGCAAAATTTCTTCCGAACAAGATGGTCCGACAATAACCTATGGTGAGGATCTGAGAAGGATGTGGAGATGATCTTACCAAACTACAAAAGAAACAAGTTCAATCAGCAGTACGCTGCACTCAGTACCGTGGAACGCCACGTTGAATTTATTTTTCACGTACGACATCAGGACGTTGTTTTGACAACCGTATTCACACTATCTTATATTTCGCAAACTAAACAAAGTTCTACATAATCACCGAAAAGAAGGCCACTGCAAGAGGTTCAACATGCGTGGGTTAAACGGCCCCCTCTTAACAGAGGTAAAGAGATGGAATTTGATTTTAAAAAAACCTACGAGTTTTGTCACGTGTCACGAAAGTTCATGGAAAAGGAAATTCTCGTTCAGTGCATCTGTGCGTTGCATTTGATGACTCATTCTTGTTCCCATTATTCTCGTTGGCCATCCTTTGTCTTTAACTTTCAAGCCAATAGAGAATCAGTATCATTGCCACAACGCGTGGAACCAATAAGGTTTAATCAGTCACGTTTAATGATAGGTCGAATAACATATCCATTCTGCTGAAATCCTTAAGTTATACCCATAGGACTACAACCTCAGCATATGAAGGGCTACCAATAAAATCGAAACAGGAGGTCAGTATGGTGGTGGGAACTGTCTTGATGAACTGCTGTCCTCAGCACGTTGTTTCCATGTTAATTATTTTTCGAGAAGGAAAATTGCTATTGTACATGAGAGTCACGTAGGTGTCATGATTCATACGGAAATCGCTCTTGTGCTCTCAAGCATGGTACTGCCCTCTGTAACACGTTTGTCTTGCCGTAATTCGACATTGCCATTCTTTGTCTCTCTGACAACATCCAGAATCTCACTCCACGTCAGCGTTTGGACGATTTCTTCTGAAATTTGTTCGCCTCACAAAACATCAATTTTGACCTCATCGTTGAGATGTTCAGCAAATTTCTTTCTGATATCTAGGATTTAAAGCGAAGATTGGATGTACCAATGGAATGTTGAGTGTCGAAGACGTTATAAGCGAAGAGCATTCACATGGTTGCGGATATGTTTGTGACTACGTCACCCACTTTTATTCGCCGCGGCGAACAATTTATGAATCGCAGAACGGTACTCGAAAAGGTGCTCTAATTGCCCTACGGCACTGGAAGACTATCGCAAAGGAAGAATCGAATGGGAAATATGCTGAATCCTGCTCTGCTCCTGAAGAGGGTGTTCGAGTTATCCAACTGTTTCGGCCCTTGTACACATAAAGGCGTAAAGGTTCATTTCGTCAGAAACTCGAAAAACCGACTTTCTATAAACCTCGGCATATATAGTTGATATATTTACTTATGTGATCTTATAAACTGATCTTCTTAAAGTGACGCGAGGTTGGTACAGATCTTCGTTGTCGTTGTTGTTTTTGATGTTGCTGGTCGATGGCTGACGTTTCGGCGATTTCGCCTTCCTCAGAGCCTGGACGTACTTTATGTTAGAATACTTTTTATTATTCGGTGGAAAAGAAGGTTAAAGTATTAATGAAGATCAAACTTTCAAATAGACGCCATATTGAACAGAAAGGCCACTCACCGTGATGTTACGTGCGGAACTGTCCCACACGTAGTTCACGTGAAGTCACGAGAAAGACACGCCCCGGGGTCAAAATATCATTTTGAAATAGGGCGCCAGGTCACGCGTGATAGTGCGGCATTCGTCCTTCCGGTTCATCTTTGGATTTTTGAAATTTATCCAAAACGCCTCAAGAGTTTTTTCAGTTGAAGTAAGCTTGTGTTTTAATAAGCAAGTAAAGGACAGGGCAAATAGAGAAGTAGAAGCCACTCGGTTTAGAGGAAAACGTTGGGTAGTTTCCCAAAATAATATTTCAGACGAAAGTAGGATCCCCTTTAAGCTGCCCTTCATATCAAATGAAGTAAGTCATGCCATTAAAAAGTGCTTAAGAAAAAGTGGTCTTGAAAATTATGTAACGATTGTTGACATCCCACCCAATACCCTACGCCGCCAGTTAGTTCGAAACCGTCTCTATGATCGTTTGTGCAGCTCGGAAAACTGTATGATCTGTCCCAACGGGAGAGACGGGGATTGCATGAGTTTAGGTATAATATATTTGATCTCATGTAACGCATGAGGCGAGGAATATATCGGGGAAACGGGTAGACCACTTTGTGTACGCATAAAAGAACATCTAGACGGAAAAGCTAAAATCCGTCTAAACACCCCTCTAGGTACGCATAGGGTACAAAAGCACAACGGCGATGATTTCGAAGTGAATGTGCGGATCCTAGCGCAGGAATCAAAAACATCAACGCGCAAAACTCTTGAGGCGTTTTGGATATATTTCAAAAATCCAAAGATGAACCGGAAGGACGAATGCCGCACTATCACGCGTGACCTGGCGCCCTATTTCAAAATGATATTTTGACCCCGGGGCGTGTCTTTCTCGTGACTTCACGTGAACTACGTGTGGGACAGTTCCGCACGTAACATCACGGTGAGTGGCCTTTCTGTTCAATATGGCGTCTATTTGAAAGTTTGATCTTCATTAATACTTTAACCTTCTTTTCCACCGAATAATAAAAAGTATTCTAACATAAAGTACGTTCAGGCTCTGAGGAAGGCGAAATCGCCGAAACGTCAGCCATCGACCA